TGGACCCTTGGGTTCCTTGTAATGATGTTATTAGTTGAGTCGAGAATGGTCTTGAATGAACCTGGCATGCTAGCCGGGGTGATGACGTCGCACCGATCAATGAGTTCCTCCATCGTGTCATCATTCAAATTGGGGAAAGAATAACGGGGTCGTTTTCGGCCTGTTCCCTCCATGGAGAAGACGATCGAACAATGGCAGAAGGAAGGGTGAAGGCAAATGGAGGAGGGAGGAAGAGTGTGCGACAGCAGTTCCAAATCGAGAGGGAAAGGCGAAGAGTTGGTGGACGGTTGCCACGGTACACGAAGAGGCGCCTGGGGAGCGAACGGTTGCCACAGAGGTCACACATTGATGACAAGGGCCGAGTGAACTGCATGCGTATATCGCACACACCTTGATCTGGCTGACCGTTTCTTTTGTGTTGCCTAATCACAAATAGTTCATCCGAGTGAACCGTATGCTGTATATCACACACACCTTCATCTGGCTGCCCGTTTCTTTTGTGTTGCTTAATCCCAAACTGTTCATCCAAGTGAACCGTATGTTGTGTATCGCACACGCCTTCATCTAGCTGCCCGTTTCTTTCGTTCCTCCTCATTGCATACAGTTAATTGGACTAAACCATATGCCCTTCATCGCACACGCAACTAAAATCTGAACCGTGTTTGATGCATCCGTCATCGCAAACATTTTATACATTTTTGACGGTTTTCATACACCACCATTTGTGATTATTGCATCGCACACAGTTTCTCGAAGGGTCTTTGATCGTAGTGTTGCATTAGCAGCATCCTACAGTAGTGTGTGTTCTAAATGACAGAGAACTTCTCGTTTCTCTTCATGTGAAGCATGATAGGCATCATGAATGGATGAAGCGTCAGATGCAAAGTCTTCTTATGGATGTCAATCGCATACGCAACCTCTCCATCAAGAACTCATTTGTTGCTCATGAAGCCTGTCTGCGTGCCTGGAAGAGCCTTACTCTGCTTTGTTCTAAAGATGAACTCACTGCAGATGGCTTCACTGAAAGATTCAAGTTTGACTCCAGGCCTCCACAATCTGCAAGTTCGCACTCTACTACGTCCATTGAAGATTCTGACGATTCAGCTTCAGCCCCAACTGTTGTTGCGCGAGTCATTGATGAGGAGGACGACGCCACTTCACCAGCTATGGCTTCACTGCATCACGATTCTGCATCAGGCCCTTCTACACTGCCCAACTCTAACGTCGACCCTGTTGCCCCAACAAATTCACCAACTCCTCCGGGGAACGCTTAGACACTCTATGTCTTCACTCCTTTTTGGTCATTCCTGACAAAAGGGGCATATGAGTTGATGGTCTTCAAGCGAGTCTATATGGGTCGGGTGCTTCTTCTTGTTAAGTTTTGCAACTCTTGTTTTTGAACCGTTGCTTTTGAGTTGTAACTCTTAAGTATTGGTGGTCGTCTGCTAGTTTTGCTGCTACCTTTTATTGCGACAATAAATTACCCATGAAGTCATTATGCATACACCCATTTTTCATTGTGCATGTCATTATCTTCACTACATTTCTGTATGCATGATGAATTGTCTTCATGAATTGAAGGAGATCTCCACAAAGCAGAACCTGCCATGCGCATTTGCATTCAAAGGCAAATTACTTATACGCACATCTTCGAGGGGGCCCTTTCAACTTCATGAAGCCAATGACCGCGTTCTTTAACTTTCACATATCTTTATCCCTGTTGAAAACTTCAAACAGTTTGCCATCAATCACCAAAAAGGGGGAGATTGTAAGTGCATCTAGTGCCACCCCTAGTTGGTTTGGGATTATCGACGACAAACATGGTTGACGGACTAATGTGTTTGTGAGAATTGCAGAATAACACAGCTAGAAGTCCCTCATTGATTTGGTTTACCTACCAGAGATGACCCCTAAAAATGTATGAAGACAGTGAAGACAATGGTGGTTCGTGAAGACATTCATGTCAAAGATAATGACATGTGAAGACATTCAATTGAAGTCAATGGAGTACGAAAACATAGTTTCTTTCGTAGTTTCATTTTCTTCTTTCTTGAGTCATAGGAATCACCGAACTGTTAAGTGGGGTCCAAGTGAACAAAGTCAGAAAATTGATGTGATGCTCAATCCAAATCCTATGTCTTCGAGTGAAGACAATGATAATAAATCTTATCTAGAGTTGGATGGGTCGGCTTTGCTTGTAGCCCAAGTCAAGCTGACGTGTGTGTTTGAAATCCGACCGTTGGACACGTGTCGGTTCCTTAGTGACCCAAGGTCATTTCGGACATATCATGTCGGGTTGCCTCCTGGATATAAATAGCTCACCCCCTACACCATAAATTGGTGGCTGCTTAGAGTTAGTGCACGGCTTCTGTCGTTTGAGAGCAACCCACCTTCGAAGCCTTTGAGAGAGAAACCTTGCGAGGACAAAGCCCAAAACACCCAGCGCTAAAGAGTGTTAGGCATCACTGAAGTCTTTCTGTGTGCGTGGTCTGAAGACTTATTACACTTGAAGATTGTGTATCTTCCAGTCAGTTAGGTGTCGCGTTCTGAGGATCCAAGAGTCATTGTGTATCAGTGAACGAATTTTGTGAAGGTTTGGAAGTCTACCTTGAAGACTTACCAGAGTGATTGGGCTAGGACTAAGTGTCCTTAGCTCAAGGGGTCTTCTGAGTTCAATCTCAGCCTCCCTAACCAGACGTACAGTTGTCACAGCAACTGGAACTGGTCTACCAAATCATTGTCTTCGTCAAGCAACTGGTTCTTTCAGTTCACCCTTACTGTTTAGCTTCTTGAAGTCATTGCTTGGTTGTCCTGTTTGACTTCACTGTGTGAAGATATTCTCTCTGATTGCATAATTGGCTTCATACCGTCTTCCCATTCTGATCCACCCTACCTAGCTGCTATTTCTCTTCGTGCTTACTCAGTACTATTTCCTAGACCATGGCTTGGCTAATGTAATTTATCTTCCGCTGTATACTATGTAGGTTCTATTTGATTGTCTGTCTTTGAAGACATTGCCTTATCTTGAATACTTTCATAAAAATCGCCTATTCACCCCCTCCCCCTCCAGTCGATAACTAGCATTTTCAGTTCTTTAGGGCCAGTCATGAGAAAAACCGACATTGCAAGGGCACACCGGATCTCCAAGTGAAATCTGCCGTGGGGATGACCTCTTGTCCCCAGAACCTCGCGTCGCATGCCGAATTGGTGGGATGGCACCCGTTGGACTCCCATGCCCAGGTAATGGTATCTGCCTGTGTTGGGTGTAGCTCGAAGCCGTCCACTCATGCCCATAGTTCAACTTCAAAGTACTCCTGTAACAGATCCGCCGAGAGTTTTGGGCCGATGTCAGCTGCCCAAGTGCCCTCCTCCAGGGCCTGCTGGACTGTGCGCGTGGATCTTGCATGCTTGGCCACCACATTATATAAGTTTGGCGCTATCTCCTGCACTCTCAGCCCATGTAGCCATTGATCCTCCCAAAACATGGTCGACCTCCCGTCATGTACAGTCGATTTTGCTGCCGCTCAATACAGTTGCATGGATTCCTCTAGGACATTGATGTTGAATTCTACCCATGGTCTCGACGCGTCCGATCTTTGCAACCACGGCCATAGAGATTGCATCGGAATATTAAGTCGTCTTAGGTTTGGGTTGCCGAGTCCACCTGCCCACTTGGGTGAGCACACATGCTCCCATGCCACCGCACATTGCCTGCCATTGTCCTGCGCTTTGGCGCATCAAAGAAACCCTCGGCAAATTTTGTTCATCGCCGTAAGCGCACCAAAGGAACCCTCGGCAAATTTTGTTCATCGCCGTAATCATCTTCTATGGCAGCTCAAGAGCTATCATCGTATGAATCGGTATTGCACACGACACAGACTGCACCAAGATCAAACGGCCGCTCTTGGGTGGGCAAACGTCCTGCCAGCATATCCACCAATGTGCTCAGCTGAGCTTCTTAGTTGTTAGGCTGGTCATAGTGGGAGTAACATAGGTAGTAACATAGATGCCACATAAGCAAAAATGGTGATGTGGCAAGTAGTTAATGAGGAGAGAGGCAAATAGAGTAACATAATATGTTACCATCACATAGCGGTTTCCAATGTATAATGAGTCTACAAAGTAATAAATGAAGGCAACTATGTTACCACACCTATGACACTACCCACTATGAAGGTAGTAACATAGACTAGTAACATATGTATGTTACTAGTCTAGGTTACTCCCCACTATGACCAGCCTTACTTATAATCGTGAGCAGCTGATCAACCACAGTATTTATGGTTGGTGCGTTCAATTAATGAATTGGTTTGTCCATGCTAATGGATGGAAAGCATGGACCATTTGCCCACAAAAAAGGAAAGAAATCATGGGCCATTGAAAGAGAGGGCCTGCACGAGTAATCCTGCTTTCTGACGGGACCGCCTTGCCGGGGCGGTAGGTGCATCCAGCAGCAACCCAACAGCACGGGAAACCACTAGCGTTGGACGCACCTGGTTAAGCTGTAATCAAGTAGTTCCTCCATCCAAACAGATATATCTAGACGTGGGATAGTACATACTTTATCCATTACTTGCCGTCCAAATAGATATATCTAGACGTGGGATAGTACATACTTTATCCATCTTTATAAAAGAAATGTACTTTCAACTTTGTTGGAGGGTCAAACTATCTTAAAGTTTGATCGAGTTTGTGCAAGAACATGTTAATGTTTATGAAATCAAATAGATATATGACGAAAATATATTTTATCGTAAAGCTGATGCTACTAATTTGATGGCATAAATGTTTATCTATTATTGTATAAATATGGTCAAACATAAAAAGTTTGACTTTCAAAGTTGAAAAAGAACGGAGGGAGTAGGTGTAAGAAGAGGAAACGGGGATTTTGTTGTCTGGTCAGGCCAGGGAAACCAACGCCAAGACCAGTCATTTTCGCCATCTCCAACAAAACAATCAATCTCCACACTCCAGTTTGGGACAAACACGGGCAACCAACATCAAACGAGAGCATAGCACTTGAAGAGCAAAATCCCTCGGCTGATCTCAACTGGCAACCAACACCCAAGATAGTTCTGCTGGATAATACATGATGATGCACCTAGAGTAGAGGAACAAAACGACACATGATGCAAAGCCAGATTCAAGTTATTACGACGACGATCCATGGCACCAACTTGGCAACAAGGTATGAAGCTACTGGGATCGGGCGGCGAAGCGCTCCACGTTGGGGTCGGACAGGTTGATCCCCACCATGGCCTCCCCGAGCCCCGCGCTGACGTTGGCCAGGATCTCCGGGTCGCTGTAGTGCGTCACGGCCTGCACGATGGCGCGGGCGCGACGCGCCGGGTCGCCGCTCTTGAAGATGCCGGAGCCGACGAACACCCCGTCGCACCCGAGCTGCATCATCAGGGCGGCGTCCGCGGGGGTGGCCACGCCGCCGGCGGCGAACTGCACCACCGGGAGGCGGCCCAGCTGCTTGGTCTGCATCACCAGGTCGTACGGGGCGGCGATCTGCTTGGCGTAGCTGAAGACCTCGTCCTCGTCCATGTTGCGCAGGGCGCGGACGGCGCCCATCACGGAGCGGACGTGGCGGACGGCCTCCACCACGTTACCGGTGCCGGCCTCGCCCTTGGTGTGGATCATGGCGGCGCCCTCGCGGATGCGGCGGAGCGCCTCCCCCAGGTCGCGGCAGCCGCACACGAAGGGGACACGGAAGTTGTGCTTGTTGATGTGGTGGGCGTCGTCGGCGAGGGTCAGGACCTCGCTCTCGTCCACGTAGTCCACGCCGATGGCCTCCAGGATCTGGGCCTCCACGAAGTGCCCGATGCGGGCCTTGGCCATCACCGGGATGGTGACGGCGCGCTTGATGTCGCGGATGAGGGCCGGGTCGGACATGCGGGCCACGCCGCCCTGGGCGCGGATGTCGGCGGGCACGCGCTCCAGCGCCATGACGGCGCAGGCGCCGGCCTCCTCGGCGAGGCGCGCCTGCTCGGCGGTGACCACGTCCATGATGACGCCGCCGCGCAGCATCTGGGCGAGGCCCACCTTGACGGAGAAGGTGGCGGCGGCAGGCTTGGCGGAGGGCTCCACCACCGCCTTGTTGTTGCCGTACAGGGCCACCACGCCGTCGGAAGCCATTGATTCTTCTCACTCCGATCCGCCGCCGCAACAATCTTCTCTTCCACTTTGGGGGGTTTGGGGCTGGGGTTGGGGATGGATGAGATGTGGTTCTGCTCTAGTGGAGTGGTAGAGGAGAAGTGGAGCTGGACTTGACTTGCAACTGGACACGCGGAGACAGCCGGGCTAATGGGCCATTCCTTCCGGTCCAACAATCCAATTTTATCCTAGCCATCATCTCGGTTGCCCAAAGCGAACCAACGTGCTGGAAATCAAGCATGTACTGAATGTACAAAATGAAAAGCTCTCTGAAAAATACTCTTCTGATGTTGGGCGTGCAAAGGAGAATTCTTTCAAATATCTAAAAGATAGGATCTGAAAACAAGTCCAGATGGAGAAGGTGCTTTTGGTTGGGGGTAAGGAAGTTCTCATCAAGTCTGTTGCACAGGCAATTCCCACCTATTCGATGGCATGCTTTAAGCTTCCAAGAGGGCTTTATCAACATATCAATGGGCTACTCCGCAAATTTTGGTGGGATTCAAGGAAAGGCGAAAGAAAGACAACTTGGGTTTCTTGAAAAGTTATGACTCAACCAAAGTTCATGGGCGGTATGGGATTCCGTGACATCGAGCTCTTCAATTTGGCGCTACTTTCTCGCCAAGCATGGCGCTTACTTCAGGACCCTACGTCCTTGAGTGTCCGGATTCTCAAGGCTGTTTACTACCCCACATGCTCCATCTTACAGGCGGAATTGGGAAATTACCCCTCTCAGGTATGGCGATCAATTTTGGAAGGCAGAGATACTCTCAAGCTTGGTCTTATTAAAAGGATTGGTATGGGGGAGAACACTGACATATGGCTTGATAATTGGATACCTCGTGATTACCTATTGAAACCTATCTGCTCAAAGTCAGCGAACCCACCTCGTTTGGTTTCAGAACTTGTTGATCACAGCTCGGCATCCTGGAATCAAGCCAAGTTAGATGAGCACTTCATTGACATGGATAAGGAGGCCATTCTTAATATTCCTCTAAGTATGCGGGTGCAAGAGGACTTCTGGTCATGGCATTATGAGAAGAGGGGCATTTTTTTAGTTCGATCAGCTTATAGATTGCTGTCTGGGACAAAGAAATATCGAACCGACTGGCTGGAACATAAACCGGGCCAGTCTAATTTGGAGGCAGAAAGGAAATCTTGGAAGAAGCTTTGGGGTATGAAAGTGCCATCTAAGATCCGTGTGTTTGCATGGCGGCTTGCTCAAACTTCGCCACCTACTGGTGATGTCCGTAATCACAGGACGATGGCTGATACGCTGCCATGTGGGATTTGTCATGCGGTCCAAGACTCATGGCGTCACTCATTATTTGAATGTCGCATGGCAAAATGTGTGTGGGCACTCATGGAGGAGGAGCTGACCGACGTTGTTATCTTGAACCGCTCGGAAAATGCTAAGGTATGGCTGTTTTGGTTGTTCGACACGCTGCCACCGGCAGAGCTTACTCGTGTCCTCATTACAATGTGGGCAATCTGGTGGGCACGGAGACGCGCCATACACGACGAACAATTCCAAAGTCCGATGAGCACTGCATGCTTTATTACCAAATTCATTGAGCTAGAATCACTTCCATGCCGCCCTTCACTTCAGCCCAGGGGCACGACGGCAAGGCCAGAGGACCTGTAGGTTAGGGTTGAGGATGTGCCTGCAAACTCAAGGGGCATGCATGCCACAGGAACGAATGCGCCTAGGGGTGTATGGCTGCCACCCGTTGAGTGTGATGCTAAAAGCAATGTTGATGGGGTCTATCACGAGATGGAACTAAGGGTGTGGCAGTGGCTGTATGCAGAGACACATTTGGACACTATTTGGGTGCGTCGGCTGTCGTTTCTAATGGCCTTGTTGACCCGGCAACACTGGAAGCTCGAGCATGTAGTGAAGGTCTCGCACTTGCTACGGATCTGCATTTAAACTCGATTTGTATTGCCATGGATTCTGCAGAAGTGGTGTCTAACTTGGACAAGTCTGCTCCCTGCCGATATGCTACGATCTTGAGGGATATTGATCATCAACGCCACGCATTCCAGCAGTTTCAGATCATTCATGAGAAACGGAAACACAACGGGGAAGCACACTCGCTAGCAAAGGCAGCTTCCTCTCTTTCTACCGGGCGCCACGTGTGGCTTAATGTTTTGTCCCACATCATCTGTACCCCTTTGAACATTGTTATTTAATAAAGGTTATAGACCCCTCAAAAAAATATGCTGGAAAGGAGAGTGGTATCAGGGGTTTTAAATCCTGATGCTCGTATTTATTGTGGATGGTATTTATGGTAATTTCGTAATGTTTCAAGATAACATGTTGATTTGTTTATATGAGCGCTCGTGTCCGTATTGCGTTCAAACTAAAAAAATCTCCGTTGCCTAAAAAATTAAATCAATATCTCAGTCTGAATTCTCAAGTTGTTTCCCTCAAAAGAAAAAGATATTAAAACAACTAGACTTGCATATTTATTTATTTATTTTATCCGCACTAGCATATTTATTTATTTTTGCAGGTAAAAGAAGGTTCTCATTAATCAACCTAGATCAGATCAATCCAACTCACATAGTTTTACAACCCCATCTGGACTGAACCGCAACCACACTGCGGTTTTCCAACTCACATAGTTTTACAACCCCATCCTGATCGGACCGCATCCACACTGTGGTTTTAATATCCATTCGCCCTATCCTGCCTAACTCATGGCTAACATTATTTCTAGTGCGCCTAATATGTCTCACCTCTCTCTCTCTCTCTCTGCTCGGAACAGGTATCTCATGCACAAGACATGCATCACGAGACCTATCAATACTCATCTAGTTAAGCTACTTCATACCTATCAGTTTCAAGAATGAATGGTAACGAGACCCACTCCAAGGTGAGTGCCACTCCCTCTCGACAAGCTCGTAGCTGGTGGCCACTCCGGCCCAGTGTTCCGGACCACAACAATGTCTAGAATCATCCAACCCTTCGCCATCGCACGCGAGAGACTCACCACTCGGGGGCATCTACACATAGTGTGGAAACCATCTTCGCATGCCATACCACAGAGAGAGCACATTTGTTAGTCTTCAAGTGTTGTGAATGTCTATTAGCCCAGTAGCAAGTGAGTTGGAAACCAAACGCCAGGCAAAACACTTGTACCTTTGGGGGAGCAGGGCACCCCCATATGGTCTTTCAGATGGCGTGACGACCATCCACCGCCCTGCTCGATGCGCTCACCAATGGACGCTTGCGCTCGTCCATGGCGAAGTGTACGCTGAACGAACGGAGAATATGCCAGTTTTCTCCGGCGTCCAGGCAAGAACGTCCTTGGACGCGCGTGTGGGAGTCGTCATGATGTCGACGTTAATGGGGAGGGAGTAATGCCTGAGGAGGTCAAGGCGCCAGGCGCCATGCTTATCCAGCAGGCCCGACACTCTCCTGAGCTTGCAAGTGCCTTAAGGTGTGATGAGCTCACCGGATTGCTCCCGTGGCAGCCATCTGTCACGCCATATGCAGATTTGCCAACCATTCCCAACACGCCAAATTAACCCCTTTTCAGGATCCATGCATGATCCCTTTCCAAGTTACCAAGTGTTGCCCGAGAACACAATGTCCTTGAGTCAGCCGTCCAGATAGTAGCGAGCTTTGAGTGACTGTGCGGAAAGACTGCTAGGTTTAGATAGGAGGCGCCATGCCTGGCGAGCAAGTAGGTCCTAGTTGAACATTCTGAAATTACCAAAGCCCAGGCCACCGCACTACTAGCATATTTCTCTCTCAAAAAACATAAAGTATTCGGTCACAACGGAAAAGAGTGGAACTATGTTTCTATTTGAGACAACACATTGATTCACATGAGCACAATACGAGTTTTTCATCGAGAACCCACATTGATTCACGTCGACAAAATTATTTTAAGCCTCTAGATTTGTTATTTAATATATGACATATGTTAGACGTTCGTTAGATTTTTATAACTGGATTAAACATATCATAAGATATACATAATCGCACAAAAATATATTGTATCCATCCATTCTATCTACTATATTAAGAAATATATACGGAGGGAAAACAAACAAATATTCTAGATATCTGGAAATTCTACAAAAAATGGTCCATTCATCTGGTGTATCTTTTCTATCGGTAGATATGACAACCATTAGATCTTCATAATCACACCAAAAAATCACAACCATCAGATTTTTACATAAACAAATTACAACCATACAATTTCATAAAGTCACCTAAAAACAAACCCAAGTGCTACAAAGTCTGCTAATATAGGTGTCGCATCACAAATCTTTCAAAGCCGGTTGTGAACATATCATCCACATGCATAACGTATTTTTAGTGCACTTTCAGAATTTATGAAATTAATTTCGCTATTTTAGAAACCCTAATCCATATTGGGGATTTAATTAATAGCCCGTATTAAAACCATTTGCATAAAATGATTTTCCAAACATTCATCGGTACTAGAAATATTTTCTTGTGTATAATGACCCTATTATTTTTGTGCAAGCTTCTAGATTTTTAGAATTTGAATTGGAATATGATAGAGGCAAAGGTGTCCCGTCTTTCGATTAGATGATGACTATCGTTTTTTGTGGATTAGACTTTGACGATCCGACTACGAACGTGCGAGGACGTCGCGCCTTAGCAATAGCTAAACCAACTCCAAGAGGTTATTGACCACTCCGGAGCATGATCAACTTGACCACGAGGGTCTGTTTCCTACACGCAAACGAAGAACAAGCAAGAAACTGAAATTGAAATCTGGATATTGCGAATATAAGAGGAAAGCTCTAATGATCAAGGTGGGATTCTGTGACGTCTTGGTCTGGTAGTTGAACACAAACGAAGTACGCGAAGTTGTGGCTATGGAGAACTTTAATCTAAACAAAACTCAAAATCTAAATGATGCTGTAAGGGTTGTATATATGAAGGAAGAGGGGGGAATTTTGTGACCCCTTAGAGAAGGGGTCCCAACAAACCCTAA